CGGTGACAACTAACCGAAAACAAAAAAAGAAACCTGTTGAAATAAAATGGACACTATGAGAAAGAGTGACTTGATCAGCCCTTGTCCTTACTGTTGATGAACAACTTAATACTTTACCATTTTAGTATTTTTTGTTCTACTTAATACTACTGGTTGAACTCTGTAATTAACACACAATTATTCTTAGGTGTTTAAATTTACTAAAAAGTGATCCTTGTTAAATATAAGAGTGGGAATAAGAGAGGGAGGAGATATTCAATTTGGGACATGCTCAATCAGACTTGCCCCAAATGGTAGAGTTAGAAATGTGCCAGGGGATTCCAATTCAATCCCATCAAGGTGGCATGTACCAATGCCATCTCATTAGTCAAAGTGATCAGTTTCAGTTCCCAATGGATCATACTGATAGGTCTAAGAGTCAAATGGATCACACAAACAAGACTAGTGTCTGCTAATACTAACTGATAGAATAAAAAAGGAAGAGAACAATCCAACATGGGAAGCAGGACACACAGCAGACTCATAGAATGGCAGATGTCCTAAACAACACTCTGGCCTCAGAATCAGACCTTAAGGCATTTGGGTCTGGCTGAAGAGCCCATGAGAGTATTTTAGGCATGGAAAGCCAAGACACTGTGGCAAAAAAAGAAAAGAAGACCTAAATGAAAGATCTCTGCGAGTGAGATCCCAGTAGAAAGAACGGGCCATCAAAAAAGGCTGAAGGGAGGAGAGAGCTTCCACTTTGACTATGACCTTGTCTAAATAAGATCGAAGTCAGTGAACTCAAAAGGCCTCCATAGCCTTGGCAACTCATGACAAGATCCTAGGGAGATTACTGACGCCATGAACAAGAGTGTCAGTTTGTTAAGTCAAACAACAGGAGTCACTGTGCACTTACTCCTCATGTAGGATCTCTGTCCTGAATGTGTTGTTCAACGTGAATTAATGCTATAACTAGTATTCAAACAGTATTTTATACTTTATGTTTCTGTGTGGATGCTAACTGTTCAAATCTTTACTTAATATATATTAAATTCATTTTCTGTATATAAAGATAATTGAAAATGAATCTTGATACAAATGAAATGGGAGAGGGAGCAGGAGTTTGGAGGGTTGCGGGCGGGAGGGAAGTTATGGGGAGGGAAAGCCATTTTAATCCATAAACTGTAATTTGGAAATTTATATTTGCTAAATAAAAGTTAAAAAAAGAAACACTAAGGAAAATAGTGTAGGCTGAAAGGAGGCAACATCAGATGGCAATTTGAATCTGTAGGAAGAAATTAATTGTAAATATGTGTGAAAATGTATGACTGAATTACTAGTAGAGGGTTTCAAATAGTTTTGGAGAAAACTGGAATTAAAAGAAAATGCGCCACTCTTCAGCCACTGGCTGCTCCACGCCTACGGAATAATCTCCATCTCCAGGGTGGAGAAGCTCGAGCAAGATCTGCCCCTCCTGGCCTTGGAGCCCACACCTGCCCTCTTTTACTTATTCACTGCCACACTCACGGAGCCTTCACGGATACTCTCAGAGGGAGCCAACGGACACTGAACGTAGAATGCCAAAAGCGAAGAAACTCTCAATTTACAGAACCGTGAAGACGTGTTAAAGTGTCAGCACCGCTCTGTCATGCTCGGAGCGAGATGTTCGGTGTGTGCTGTCTCCTCTCAGCCTCCCCTGTGGTTGGGACACAGAGTGTGCAGTGCTCCGTGACCTGGCACAGCCTCCCCTGTGGTTGGGACACAGAGTGTGCAGTGCTCCGTGACCTGGCACAGCCTCCCCTGTGCTTGGGACACAGAGTGTGCAGTGCTCCGTGACCTGGCACAGCCTCCCCTGTGCTTGGGACACAGAGTGTGCAGTGCTCCGTGACCTGGCACAGCCTCCCCTGTGCTTGGGACACCAGAGAGCTGCAGAAGCTCCTGCCTCAGCAGTCCAGCCGTTCTCAGAGCAGAACCACTCTCCTGTGTGCCTGTGGCGTGCTGTCCCATTTCATAAGGAGGCCTTCTGGCAAGTGTAATCTAAGATCCTGGGCAGTAGTAATGTGCGTGCCTGTTACGTGTCATCTCCTTTCACTCTGGGATAAGTTCAAGGACATACTTGTGGGCTCTGATGGCAAACATGGGAATACAGTGTGCAGCTTTTTGTTATCTATTGATTTCACCAGGACAGTATTCTGATTATAGCACAAAATAGAACATAATTTATATAACAGGTTTTCTGTTTGAAGATGATCTGGTTGAAGATGTGTTCAGATTATTGTTCCTGTGAAGAAAGCAGTAATAAAGAGTTTAGCTACAATAATTCTCAAATATGCTGAAGTTTTTTGACACACTAAATAATGCAAAATGTTAACGTTAAAGAAATGTATTCATTCCCAAATGAATAAATACATATACTCACAAAAAATGTGCCTTTTCCACAAAAAAAAAAAAAACCAAAGTGAATTAATTCAGCACATGACTCTGCTTCCTTATTACATAATCTTGAGCATACAGGCCATGGGTGGCATTGGTGATGGCTTAAGTAGTTGGGTTCCTACTGCATGCACAGTACTAGATTGGGTTCCTTTTTCACAGATGTCCCCAGCGTCGATAATGGGCATTTGGGGAGTAAGTTGGAAATCAATCAGCTTCTCTCTATCTTACTCTCCCTCTCTTCTTGTCTCTCTCTTTCCCTCTCTCTATCTGTAATTCCCTGTCCTTCATAAATACATGTCTTTATAAAAAGAAAACATAAATACTTTTAGAAAGGAATGCTCACTTGCCCCAAATGGTAGAGTTAGAAACATACCAGGGGACTCCAATTCAATCCCATCAAGGTATCATGTACCAATGCCATCTCACTAGTCCAAGTGATCAATTTCAGTTCACAATTGATCATAATGAAAGGACTAAGAGTCAAAGGGAGCACATAAACAAGTCTAGTACCTGCTAATACTAACCGATAGAATAAATAAAGGGGAGAGGGATCCAACATGGGGAGCGAGATACTCAGCAGACTCATAGAATGGCAGATATCCTAAACAGCACTCTGGCCTAAAGGCATTCCGATCTGGCTGAAAAGCCCATGAGAGTATTTCAAGCATGGAAAGCCAAGACACTCTGGCAAAAAAAAGACCTAAATGAAAGATCTCTGTGAGTGAGAACCCAGTGGAAAGAACAGGTCTTCAAAGAAGGAGGTACCTTTCTCTGAAGGGAGGAGAGAACCTCCACTTTGACTATGACCTTGTCTAAACAAGATAAGAGTCGGAGAACTCAAAAGGCTTCCATAGCCTTGGAAACTCATGACTGGTGCATAGGGAGATTACTGAGGCCATAAGCAAGAGTGTCAAATTGTAAAGTCAACAACAGGAGTCACTGTGCACTTACTCCTCACGTAGGATCTCTGTCCTTAATGTGCTGTACATTGAGACTTAATGCTATAACTAGTACTCAAACAGTATATTTCACTTTGTGTTTCTATGGGGGTGCAAACTGTTGAAATCTTTACTTAATGTATACTAAACTGATCTTCTGTAAAAAAAAAAAAAGAAATTAAAAAAAAGAAAGGAATGCTCACTATATAAGGATCTTACTACTAGTGTGCAAGATCTTACTATTCATTCATTATTATCCTTGAAAATAGATGTTATTCATAAGTCTTCTTACTTGAAACTCTTAGGAACATATGGCATCTGGTCATTCTGGCTAATTACAGAGAGAATCCCATTTGCAATTTGGAGATCTTCTTCTCACAAAGTATTGGTAGTTTATTACAACTGCCAGAGGAAACCAAGCCAGAACCTGATGATGATTTCACAGTTCTCTAAGTCAGATGACTTGTTGTCTAGGGGTCCATTAGCCTGGAGGGACTTGTGGAAGGAACAGCAGGAAAGGGACACTCAGTTTTCAAACCTTTCTTAAGACACGATTTAGTGAGTTCTTAAAGAGAATTGTCTAGGTGTCATGTAACTCCTTTTGATGGAGATTGTGAAAGATGTTTAAGAGGAAGTGTTAATGTTAGGGTTTTGGTTAGCTGGTCAACACTGATGAGCTCTCTGAGTGCTTGGAATCAGGATTCGGGTGGGGGTTTACACCTGAAGATACATATCAAATTGTGAGAACTGGCAATGAATGAATACTGGGCATGGCATAGGTTCAAATACTATTGTAGAAGTGACCCTATGCAGGATGACTCTGTAGATGACCAGGACATCACATCAGGACTTCTGCAGAATGTGAACCATGAGACTGGACAGTCTTTGAGGCTTCAGTGTCTCTGAATAAAAGATCAACAATGTTGTTGGAGTTACTTTTTACTCTTTTGCATCACTCTGATTCATGGTCATGGGAATGGGAAATCTGGGAAGTAAGACAGAACAGTTGCTGGTCCCTTGTGTCTTTATTGATGCCTGAACCTCAGGATGCAATTGTGACAAGATGTTGGCTCTCTGCAATTGATCATTGCTAATCCTCAAAGGAAAATCTGAGATTTAAAGATCCCCATTTCAAGACCCTGCCTGTAAGTAATAAGTAGACACATAGAGAAGTGCAGGGAAAGTAATTTATTAAGCAAGACGTTGAAACCCTTACAGTTTACACTCGATTAGGCTATCCAGTAGAGACGATGAAACCACAGTCAAATGATGTCCAGATTTCACAAGGCACATTCTTTCACTATTTTGGTCTAAAAATGAAAAGAAAGGAAGAAGAGAGAGAGAAAAACTGAGTTTATTCATTCTGCTCCTAGAGACAACAGGTCACCACAATCCAGGAGTCACTGAAATTTTGCTTTCAAAAAACATTACGTAAAATTAGAAAGCAAAAAAAAGCAGAGTGTATGAGAAATTATGGCATAAACCGATGAAATTTTCACAAACAAGACACATTAGGTGACAACCTTTCCAAAGTAGGTAAAATATACGGGGACCTCCAAAAGGTCCTACCCAACAAATTTAAAAATCTGTCTATTAGGATATAAAAAATTTGAATCCGTACCTAGGATTTTTGCGATATTCTTTTTTTATTTTTATTATTTATTTTTAACTTTTATTTAATGAATATAAATTTCCGAAGTACAGCTTATGGATTACAATGGCTTCCCCCCCATAACGTCCCTCCCACCCGCAACCCTCCCCTTTCCCACTCCCTCTCCCCTTCCATTCACATCAAGATTCATTTCCGATTCTCTTTATATACAGAAGATCAGTTTAGCATACATTAAGTAAAGATTTCAACAGTTTGCTCCCACACAGAAACATAAAGTGAAAAATACTGTTTGAGTACTAGTTATAGCACTAAATCTCAATGTACAGCACACTAAGGACAGAGATCCTACATGAGGAGTAAGTGCACAGTGACTCCTGTTGTTGACTTAACAAATTGGCACTCTTGTTTATGGCATCAGTAATCACCCTAGGCTCTTGTCATGAGCTGCCAAGGCTATGGAAGCCCCCTGAGTTCACCGACTCTGATCATATTTAGACAAGGCCATGGTGGATGAGATCCTGCATTCTGGTTAGAGGACCCAAGTGTATAGGTCAAGTTTCATATGGAAGGGGTAGCATTAAGAACAAGACAAGGAGCCAGCAGTGCCAGCATCCCATATGGGTATGGATTCAAGTCTCCATGGGAATTTTGCTTCAGGACTCATGAATCTCTCAGCACTAAGCTACAACATTCATGGGCATTTGCACCTGAACTGACTATCTAAAAGCAGGATCAGACAGGATAAGAGACATCTCTACCATCAGATTTTCTAATAAAGAGATATATTGGAAACTGCAGGAGACAAAGCAGCAATGCACACATCCACATAAAGGGAGTTAGGGGGAGGAGTGGGCTCCTGGATATTCAGGAGCTGGGAGAGAATCCCAGACCACCACAATATGCTTGAACAGAGAATAGGTCCAGTCTCCCCCTTTCAGTCTGGCTCACTGTCCAACACACCCAGTACCCTCACGCAAGACTCCAAAGTGACTAAATGCACTGGGATGGTGGGGTTCATCCTCAGAACAGCTCAAAAGCAGAGAGGAATGAGAGCTTGAGCTTTCAACATCCTTTATTGGATCTCAGGATGTCTTCCTGATCAGTACAACAAAGGATGATGGTATATGAGGAGCGGCATGCAGGACCCCAGGATGCCATGTGTAGCTGAGTTTAATTTAGCAGGTGTTCTGGTATCATCAACCCAATGCTGAGGACATAAGCAAGGCAGGTGTTCTGCCCCCTGGGCACCCCATAGAACAGCTAGTAGACCTCATGCCTTGTGTTGTGACCAAACAGGACCTATATGCATAAAGAAGAAGGAAATTACCAGCACTGCTGCAATTAGCACTCTTTTTCCTTTGTCAATCTCATCCGTGCATTCCTTCACTTGCAATTTCGCCTCAACAGCTTCTGGAGGTGCATCGTATTTTGCTAGTTTTTGTCGATAAACAGGTTTCGGATCAAATAAGAAGCCTACGCTATCAAGAACAAAGGCTGGACAGGCTGCTGCATCAGCTGGAGAACAAGAATGGAAATACAGTTTACATGTGACAGGTCTTTCCTCTGCCCAGGGCTCTCTGATATTAGACAAAACAAGATCCCCAGAGTTCCTTCTTTGCAACCTGTAATTATCCTAATAACAATGGAAAACCCTTGATGTTGTGATTACCTCAAAATTGCATACCGAGTAACAGAAGTAAGACCAGAAAAGCAGTTTTTTCCACACTAATTCAGTTTCTGGTTTTTTTCTAATATGCATCCACTATTTTCCAGGGCTTCTCACCTTTGCTGAAATACCCTTTAAGAATTTGAGAAAGCTCACGTGTGTCTGCACATTGAGTGACAGCTTAGCAGACATGGATTCTGGAGATGAAAAAGTTTAGGATGATCCAATTTGGAAGACAAGGGAGGTGTCAGATTCTTATCATAGATGGAGCAATGAGAGAAAATCGGGAGGAAAGTGTGTGAAAGAACTACCATGTGAGGTGGGGATATTCTGAAACTAAACAGGAGGAACTCAGATTGTGCCATTAGATGTAGATGAACTAAAAATTAAACTTCAAAGAGATAGAATCATTCTTCCCACGCATCTGAAGCTTCTGCAGTAAACAGTGATTTGTCTTCTGTTTTACAGAATGTTGAAAATCCTTCACAAGAATGAATGGAGGGGACTCTATCTCATTCTTGCCCTACCAGAAATTGTGGGCAGATCTGGAAGAACTTTTTGTGCAGAACTTAACTTCTCTCTCCTTCGAGATTTTGTGCTCACTTTGCAAACATAATAACCTTGACTGTTGAATGTATTCCAGATCACATCAAACATTAGGTGGAACATGGAAAGAAAATAACCAAAGAGAAAATGCAGGAGCCAGGAGTAGATTCAGAAAGTGAGAGGATAAAGTGTGTTTCAGAGAAACTGGGATCATTAACAGCGTGTGAAGACATGCACCGTTTTGGATGGTTGAGAGCGTGATCAGAATTAACTCTACGGAAAGAAAAGTCATAGTGCTAACCTGTACAGTAAATCTACCATGGGTTGAGCACTCTTAGGAAATCTGGAATTCTCATAAATTGTTCCTTTTTTTTCAACCCATTGGAACTACCTTACTCAATAGATTTGGACACAACTGTCTCTTCTCAGACTGGGCACTCTACACAATTCCTTACAACTATAACACATAATGATTTATGAGAGAGAATCTGAGGGCTCTGTTAGATTTCTGTATGTGTAGGAGGAGAAAAATACCTGATCATTGCAAATATTATCTTCATGTCTATAATGGGACTCATGACATCTTTAATCTCACTGCATTCTTACTCATGCTGCGAGCTAGAAACAGAAAGAATAAGAGGAGACTGGAACACGGTAAACATTTGGCTCAAGGTCAAAAGGCTTAAAAGTGGCAGAGCTCAGACTTACACTGAGACCTCCCACCATACTCTGCTGCTGTCAAAACTCACACACCAGCCATGGAGTCATGCTCCCATCACTCTTCCTGAATTTTCCTGTAATGGTGTTCTTGTCAATTTTCTGGATATGGGAAAGTTTACTGTGAACCTTGAGATGTTGGGGGCTATTTCACTAAACTGAGGAGAGACTTTGGAACTGTGATCTGTTCCAGATTGTATTCCCACATCAAATAACATCACTTGCTGTGAAGAGAAGGCTTTTACCATACTCACTACAAATGATACTCACCCTCATAGCAGCCAAGGGCCAGAGCGACCAGCAGGAGAGGCACCAGCAGCTTCATTGCTTTGAGCTCTCAGCTTTAGAGAACTGTGAAGGATGGTTCTTCCTGCAGGCAATGTGGAGAAGCAGGAGCCCAGGGCTATTTGTACCTCATGAGCCTTGTGAGTTCTGCCCACAGAGGCCTGTGGGAGGTCACAAGACCTGGCTTCCAGCCATTCTTCCTCAGGCAGGATAGATGATTTTCGTCAGTGTGAATCTGCACACCTCCCTTAGTGTACACAAGATGATAGCCTGAGGGAACACTCTGCTCAGTCCTCCAGAAGTGTATTCAAGTGCCAACGAAATGCTAAGTTTGGAATAGTTTGCTTTTAGGATTATGATTTTTGCACCTTTCTTTTATCTGTCCATGCAGAGGCCCCCGTGTTCTCTGAGAACAGTAAGTGATGCGCAGAGACTACAGGAAACTGCATGTTTGTCTCTTGGTTCAGAAAGAACAGACATCCAGAAGACCCCATGTTGTCCCCCAACTTCTCATTGTGTGACAGCTGATCTGGTATGTTTCACTTGCATGCTGATGCACAGTGAACAAGAATATTCTTTTCCCTGTCTCTCTTTCCATCACCACTTTATCCACTCAATTCCCATACAACATGGCTTAAATATCTCACTTACAGAGACTTGCATGGTGAAAATAATTTCCTCCCTGTTTTCACCAGCCTCAGTCCTGTCTCGGGTACGTTCAAGGCAGGTGATGTTGACACATTGCATGGATTCACATTTTCATTCCAGGAAGAGAAAATCTGATGAGTGATATCAGCCAGTAGACACGGTGAGAAATTGTGAGGGCTCCAACGTCTCACAAACATGGGTAGAGATAATTCACAGTCTAATATCACTTATGAAGAACATGAAGAACTAAAAGCTATATAAAAGGCATGTGAGTAATAGGAGTTATTAACTTAGACTCAGCAAAATAGTTTCTGACCGCTCTTGCACAGTTTGCCCCATACCTCTTGCTGTAACGCAGATCAGGAAACACTTCCTGCTCCGAGCTTCACTCAGGCAAGGGAAGATGCCAGGTCTCATATCCACTGTGCCAACATAGCCTAGATAATAGCACAGTAGCCTAGCTGCTCTCTTGATACTCCTGGAGCTATGGTGTATCTGAAATAGTCTAGTCACCTAGAGGAGAATGGAGGTAGTGACTTTGGGTGGTAGACAGCACTGATCTTTGATTGTGCTTAAAGCAGCATGAGCTTAAAAATCTGAGCTCATATTCTCTTAGAGAAATAAATAATTGATCCCTATATCTAGCTTCTTTCAGATACTTAAAGAAGATAACTGAAAATTAGACATGCGGCCAATTGTATCACATCTTGAAAAGAGTATGTTGGAGACATCAGAAAGATAAGAGGTTGCTATTATAATTGAGTAGGAGGGGGGCTGGCTCTGTGGCACAGCAAGTTGAAGTCCTGGCCTGAAGCGCCGGCATGCATATGGGCACCGGTTCTAGTCCCAGCTGCTCTTCTTCTGATCCAGATCTCTGCAATGGCCTGAGAGAGCAGTGGAAAATCAGCCAGGTTCTTAGGAAGGAAGAAGTCAAACTATCCCTCTTTTCAGATGATATGATTCTTTATTTAGAGGATCCACAGAACTCTACTAAGAGACTACTGGAACTCATAGAAGAGTTTTGCAAAGAAACAGGATATAAAATCAATACACAAAAATCAACAGCCTTTCTATACACAGGCAATGCCATGGCTAAGGAAGAACTTCTAAGATCAATCCCATTCACAATAGCTACAAAAACAATCAAATACCTTAGAATAAACTTAACTAAGGACGTTTAAGATCTCTACGATGAGAATTACAAAATCTTAAAGAAAAAAATAGAAGAGGATACCAAAAAATGGAAAAATCTTCCATGTTCATGGATTGGAAGAATCAACACCATCAAAATGTCCATTCTCCCAAAAGCAATTTATACATTCAATGCGATAACAATCAAAATACCAAAGACATTCTTCTTAGATCTAGAGAAAATGATGCAGAAATTCATATGGAGACACAGGATACCTCAAATAGCTAAAGCAATCTTGTACAACAAAATCAAAGCCGAAGGCATCACAATACAGATTTCAGGACATACTATAGGGCAGTTGTAATCAAAACAGCATGGTACTAGCACAGAAACAGATGGATAGACCAATGGAACAGAATTGAAACACCAGAAATCAACCAAAACATCTACAGCCAACTTGTATTTGATCAAGGCTCTAAATCCAATTCCTGGAGCAAGGACATTCTATTCAATAAATGGTGCTGGGAAAACTGGATTTCCACACCCAGAAGCATGAAGCAAGACCCATACATTTCATCTTACACAAAAATCCACTCAACATGGATTAAAGACCTAAATCTATGACCAGACACCATCAAATTATTAGAGAACATTGGACAAACCCTGCAAGATATCGGCACCAGCAAAGACTTCTTAAAAAGACTACGGAAGCACAGGCAGTCAAAGCCAAAATTAACCATTGGAATTGCATTATATTGAGAAGAATCTGTACTGAAAAAGAAACAGTCAGGAAAGTGAAGAGGCAACTGACAGAATGGGAAAAAATATTTGCAAACTATGCAACAGATAAAGGGTTGATAACCAGAATCTAAAAAAACATCAAGAAAGTCCACAACAACAAAACAAACAACCCACTTCAGAGATGGGCCAAGGACCTCAATAGACATTTTTCAAAAGAGGAAATCCAAATGACCAGCAGACACATGAAAAAATGTTCAGGATCACTAGCAATCAGGGAAATGCAAATCAAAACCACAATGAGGTTTCACCTCACCGGGGTCAGAATGGCTCACATACAGAAATCTACCAACAACAGATGCTGGAGAGGATGTGGGGAAAAAGTGACACTAACCCACTGTTGGAGGGAATGCAAACTGGTAAAGCCACTATGGAAGTCAGTCTGGAGATTCCTCAGAAACCTGAATAGAACCCTACCATACAACCCAGCCATGCCACTCCTTGGAATTTACCCAAAGGAAATGAAATTGGCAAACAAACAAGCTGTCTGCACCTCAATGTTTATTGCAGTTCAATTCACAATAGCTAAGACCTGGAATCTACCTAAATGCCCATCAACAGTAGACTGGATAAAGAAATTATGGGACATGTACTCTATAGAATACTATACAGCAGTAAAAAAATGATATCCAGTCATTTGCAACAAAATGGAGGAATCTGGAAAACATCATGCTGAGTGAATTAAGTCAGTCCCAGAGGGACAAATATCATATGTTCTCCCTGATTGGTGACAAGTAACTGAGCACCTAAAAAGAAAACTGTTGAAGTGAAATGGACACTATGAGAAACAATGACTTGATCAGCCCTTGTCCTGACTGTCGAGGAATACATTACTAACTAACCCTTTTAGTATTTTTTTTTTTTGGTCTACTAAAAACTATTGGTTGAACTCTGTAATTAACACACAATTATTCTTAGGTGTTTAAATTTAACTGAAAAGTGATCCCTGTTTAATATAAGAGTGGGAATAAGAGAGAGAGGAGATATACAGTTCTGTACATGCTCACTCGGACTTACCCCTAATGGTAGAGCTAGAATCATGCCAGGGAATCCAATTCAATCCCATCAAGGTGGCATGTACCAATGCCATCTCATTAGGCAAAGTGATAAGTTTCAGTTCATAACTGATCATTATGATAGGATTAAAAGTCAAAGGGGGGCTGGTGCCGCGGCTCACTAGGCTAATCCTCCACCTTGCTGCACCGGCACACCGAGTTTTAGTCATGGTCAGTACACCAGATTCTGTTCCGGTTGCCCCTCTTCCAGGCCAGCTCTCTGCTGTGGCCAGGGAGTGCAGTGGAGGATGGCCCAAGTGCTTGGGCCCTGCACCCCATGGGAGACCAGGATAAGTACCTGGCTCCTGCCATCGGATCAGCGCGGTGCGCTGGTCGCAGCATGCCAGCCGTGGCAGCCATTGGAGGGTGAACCAACGGCAAAGGAAGACATTTATCTCTGTCTCTCTCTCTCACTGTCCACTCTGCCTGTCAAAAAAAATTAAAAAAAGAAAAGAACAAAAAAGAAAATGAATCTTGATGTGAATGGGATGGTAGAGGGAGTAGGAGATGGGTGGGTTGCGAGTGAGAGGGAAGTTATGTGGGGAAAAGCCACTGTAATCCAAAAGCTGTACTTTGGAAAGTTATATTAAATAAAAGTTAAAAAAAGAAACTGGAAAGAAAAAAAAAATAGAAAGTAACTAAAATTGTAATTTGCAGTGTTATTTTAAAAATGTCTTCTACTAGTCTATTTTTCTTTCAAATAGAACTAGAATCTGATCCTCTGTTAAAGCAGTGAGGTTTTTGCAATGCATATATTTTATTAAATGTTTTGTAGTCTTAAAATTTTGATTAAAACTGCAGCTTCTCCTTCTCAATAGTTTTGTTTAATTGGTGACCAGCTTGACTAACCTGTTTTCTCTTCCCTAGTTCTGACCCTGCTAAAATTGTTCCAAGTTATGGGATGATTCCATGTGCTAACTAATTTGAGATTTATTTGTGATTCTTGGGATTTCCAAAGAGTCACAGTTTTTGTGTTCTGTAGAATAGTCTATTGTGTTCTCTTAAAGGCTCTCTCCTGGAAAAGTGTGGCTCCTCTACATAGCTTTTCTACTGTACCATAAGAACTAAAGAACAATATGTTCACAACTGAAGAAGCCACAGAGCTAGCATGATCATCTGGTCATGGGAAGAAACAAAATTACCAACTTCATGGAGTAGATCCAAATAGAAAATCAACAGTCACAAGTGCCTCAGATTAAGCTCATAACTAAACATTGCATGGAAATAACCAATTGAGTAAAGTTCACATTTTGGAGCACTAACCAAGGAAAATCAGTCAGCTGCTGACACCTGAACCTGTTTTAACTTCGGAATACACCTCCTGGTTCCAGCTCATTAGATACAATTAGGTTATATCAACACATGGGAAAGGTCAATTCAAGGCTCTGGTTAACCCAGTCTCCAAACATTTCGTTTCCTCACATCCTTCCTCAAAA